GAGGTCTTGAGTGGGCTAGAGGGCGGCCGGCTGGAGCGAGGGCTCGGTGAGGCCGACGGACCGTGTGTGGAGAAGGGGGCGGCTGAGTGTGTCCGGGTCTCTGCGGTTTGAGAGGGGTTGTGTGTGTTGAGGGTGGCCCCAGCCTGGAGCTAAAAGCTCAGATTCAGGCCCTGGCAAGATGGGAAGGGCCCCGGGAGGAGTGGCAAGTGAAGTCGAATCATCTTGTATTGAGAGACAATGGAAGAAGGTAGCTTCCCCCTCCTCCAGGATTGGGGAGGCACTGGACCCTGGAGAGAGGACCCAGGGCTGGTCTGCCGGTGCAGCCTCATCCCAAGACACCATGGCAGCCCACACAGAGCCACCGCATGCATCACCAGTTCTCCAGTAGGCAGCTCATGCCCTTAGAGTACACACCCCTAGTATCTGTGCATCACAACACTTGGTCCAGTGGTGTGGCCCTGCTCCTACACACACCAGGTACACTAAACCCAGATCCCAAGCCCTGGGTCGTCCCAGGATGCTGGTCCCACCATCACCTGGGCAAGTCACTTTCCTCACCACCCCGTCCCCACCCTCTGCAGCAGCTGCCACCACTACCTGCCCCATCCTGTAAGCAGGAAGTCAACCATGCAGGTGTTTGGCCTGCAGAAGGTATACTAGAAATGGGGAAACTGAGGCATGGGGAGACGTGGTCATCCCAGGGTCCACAGAGAAAAAGTGGGGCAAGCCAGGGCCAGAGCCCTTCTTCCTCTACCCTTCTCCACCTCCTCCAACTCTGGGTTCAGCAGGCTGGAAAAATGGAGCTGTCCCTTTAAGAGGAGCTGTCTAGACCAGCGGAAGGCAGGCTGGCAGGTTGCGGTCTGGGGCCCTGTTTGGGTCTGCCAGGCTCATCAGCCAGCCTTCCTTCTGGATTTTCCCTAGCTGGCATCTGTGGCAAACAGCAGAGCAGCACTGAATCAGCCAGGCACCCAGAGGCAGGGATCTCAGTCTGGGATGCCGTCTGGAGCCCAAGACACCAGTTGGGCATTTTAGTTGGGAAACTGGAGGAAAGAAGGGTCCTCAGAGACCAGCTAGGTCACCTCTTTCTGTCTCAGAGGTTGGGATTTGAGGTCCAGCCAGGGGCCTATCCTGCTCCATAACCTGCAAGGACCCTGCAGCTGTGACCCACGGACTCCCCTGCCTGGCCCAACTTCCTATGCTTGGGACCCACGCACACAGCATATCACCTATGGATTGGAGAAAGCCCACATGGGGTCTAGAGGCCCCTCCTGGCTGTGGCTGCTATATCAGCTCTCAATCTCTCCTCTAAAGAGACCCTCTGGGCCAGACGCAGTGGCTCACACCTGTAATCCCAACACTTTGGGAGGCCAAGGTGGGCAGATCACCTGAAGTCGGGAGTTCGAGACCAGCCTGATCAACATGGAGAAACCGTATCTCTACTAAAAATACAAAATTAGCTGGGCATGGTGGCGCATGCCTGTAATCCCACCTACTCGGGAGGCTGAGGCAGGAG